TGTTCCATTTCACTTCAGAAAAATCAGTCACACCAATTCAGGATTCAGTGAGCCTGCCATCTGACAGGACGGTAGTTTGTGGGGAGAAGAGTGGAAAGTTCTGGATTTGTTCATGCCTCCTAAATGTGCAGTGCTTTCTGGGCAGATACACCGCATTGCCTGCCGTGGAGCCCAGAGCTGTCTTAGATGCAGCAGAGTTGCATGAATGTGGGTCTTCGAGGTTCATGGGATTTCATCAGTGGGAGTCAGGGATAGTAAAAAAGTGTTCACGTATCCCGTTTCACCAGTGGAAGCAGAGAGGGTGAGTGAATAGTCCCATCCCATCTGCAGGGCTCAGGCTCCAGTGAAGAGTTGGAAAGGTCCCTTGTCAGCTAGCGTATTTCTAGAGGGTAGTAGCCAAGATGGAAGGGTACCGACATGTTTTACAGAAAGGGGAGACGAAAGAGCTGTGGATACTTTTAGGTGAATCTGTTACATGGAAGAGTGATTGCACTTACCTCTGTTGCCTTAGGGAAGAATGGCTGTACACGTTTGAGTCTTTGCAAGGTCTGATTCTGTTTCTCCTGGCTTTTTGCTCCTACTGTGCACATGCTTTCAAATTTGGATTGTGAGCTCGTGTGCCCTGAAAATTTACTTGTAGAAATTCTTTGAAGCCTAGAATTAAATCTCTGTTCTTCGGGGGGGGGATTTGCTTTTACTTCCAGCAAGGATCTGGAGGCACCCCAGCCCAGGTCCATCGCATACATAGTCTTGACTTGTGGGGTTTTTGGACCATCCAGGTAGTGTGTGCATTTGGATTACAGAACTGGACCTGTTACAAAATCTCACTGCAGATTTTCTTTCTTCTTTCATTCGTTTATGCAAAGCAGTTACTGAATTATAAAAAATCATTGCTTGAGATCACCTGGTATTGGCAAGTACTTTCAAGAAAAAAGCCAACCTCAGTGGTTATATATACCTTCCTGGAGCTCCACTTTCACTAACTCTTTGGCCCTGTAGGTTTTCTTACATTCTTGTTAGCTCATAGGTTTTTTTTATAATATTTTAAAAATAAATATTTGGGGGTGTTTGGGTGGCTCACTCGGTTAAGCAGCTGACTCTTGATTTCAGCTCAGGTCAGGAGTCTGCCTGGGATTCTCCGCCCCCGCCCCCCTGCCCCAACCTCCTGTGTGCATGCACACATTAAATTAATTAATTAATTAATTAATTAATTTTATATCATCTGTTTGTTTGCTTTCAGTAGAAAGATTCATCAAGGTGCCAGAAACCAAAGTCCATCTGTTGCGGACAGAGAACTATATCATGAGATAGGGATCTTTCTTACTGATAACTTAGGAACAATATTTTAGTGTGGGGAAGGAGGTAATACAGGAGAGATTCCTATTTTAGGAAGAAGGTTGATATGTAGATAACCTTTGGGGTCTCTTTCATTATAAAAGTATATAGTTTTAGCTAAAGTAATCATTTTTTATTTCTCTTAGGAATTTACTATTTTGAACAAGACTAATATTATCAAGTGACATTTAAATCTCGTTCCCCTAACAGTGGAAGTTGTGAATATCTGTCAGTTATTAGGAAACATTGAATCTGCACTAGAAGTCATCTTAATCCATTCTGTGGTTTTGAAAGCACGTTCTTAATCTGAAATTGTTGAACGAAATTAGATTAGTTCTTTAGCCCTCCCTCCAGTGTAAACACAAATGGAATTATTTGTAGATGATTGGCATTCTTGGAGAGATACTGCACTTTTAACGTAGAAATCAGTTAAGATGCCCCAAGGATTTAATTTTTTTCTGTCAAGGATTTACTGTAAAGTTTCTTCTCCTGTTCTCCATCTGTCCAGCTTTGTCTCATCCTTCCAGATCAACTTCATCTTTTTCAATTCCCTTCTCACTGTGACTGGCAGTGACCAGGATGCCAGATGCTCTAAAGACCTGTTTCTGCCTTTATCAGTCTCTAGATTGCTTAACAAAAAGTATGTTTGAAAAGTAGAGCTATCAGCTTTCCATTGACGTGGTTGACTCTTCAATTCAGCTCTAGAATAAACGATGATATCTACAGAAAAATAACTTCCCATTAAACAAAGCACTTTGCATAGCACCATCTCTAGACTCAAAGGCAAACAGAGGAACCTATAAATTCATGTGAAATATGGGCCTGTAATGTGCACATTATTCATTTTAATTGGGCTAGAGAGATGTCACATATGGAAATGGCATTTAATGTTCTGATATTAATGTGTATTAATGCTTTGCAGATTCAAATTTAAGGGATTGCACTTAGCAATGAGAATTGCTACCTATCAATGAGAGAAAGGATGTTGAAAGCCCATGTCTGCTTAGAGCATATCATAACAGATAGATTAAGTTTGTAGAGTGACTTCAAGGTCTTTCTGTGAACTCTAAGTATATTTTCTCTGTGCATATGGTTCTCTGAATCACCTATCTAGTGAAAGAACTTTCCTCTCTCAATGTTGTATAAGTGATGGGTGGGCCCACTCCACCGATTGGAGTTCCTTCCTAATAAGGGCACCCCAATCCATGGTTGGGACCAATACATGATTCTCAAGTGAGCCAGTCCCCTTAGATTAAAGTAGTGGTTCTCAAAATTTTCAGTTTCAGGACCCTTTAAGAACTCTTAAATTAAAACTACTGAGGTCTCAGTAGCTTACATATTAATTCATTTACAGAGGACAGTAATACATGCTTTATATATTAACGTCAAAACAATGATACTAATACATGACATGTAACATCTGGAAAACTTCAATGTATAATAATGAGAGAATGAGAATTAAAAAATGACATTTTAGTATTATGAAAAATATTTTGATCCCAAAGACCCCTGTTGTGAGGCTCTTGAGGAACCCTGTGGCTAAAAATTAAGTCTAGATAGAAAGATAGTAAGAGAGAGAAAAAGAGAAACAAAGAGCTAGCCAACCAGCCCCAAAACCTTCTTTCCAGATATCAAGATAGCTACTGGTTTTCCTGCAAGAAGCATTCTTGGCAGAGAAGTCAGAGGCCTTGATTTTAAAACAAAGTTGTAGGTATGCCAGGTAGGTAGAAGAACTGGGTGGGAAATACACTTTCCATGGTCTTGGGACCCATCCATAAAAGCAGTTCATTGGCAGGAAGACCTGCTAAAACTTGGAGACACCATCAAGCCAGACCAGAGGTGCGGAACAGCACTGAATGAGTATGTGCTTGCACCAATAGACTAGAGGGAGTCCTGGGGAGTAATCCTGCCAGCCCACAGCTCTGTCTGGTCCAGAGCCACAGAGGCAAGTTGGAGGAGGTCAGAATATTCAAGACAATCCTGACATCAAACAGAGGGACATAACCTGTGGGGTAGTTCCAGTGAACAGGGAATTCTCTTTCAGATGTCAATAAATCATGAGCTGGAAGGCTTGGGTAATTCTCCAAGTTAAGTTAAATGCTGTGAGGATATGCCAAAGACATGCTGGAAATCAGTGTCCAGCAATCTGAGTTGGATGTTAAAACCCAAATCTGAAAATGAACTATAAGAAAAAGCTATTAAATATATAGCAGACAAAAGTGGCCAAATTAATAGCATAGTTCAGGGTGACACTATCAAGTAAAGGAGATATAATTAGCTCATTATAATTGTTCCTGACAAGTGATTTGGAAATCGAGAGGAAGTGGTCCTTCCTCCTCCCTCTTTTTTTATACTCAAATCATTTTCAGAAACAATTCTCCCTCCCCAGACTATAGGTTGTGAATATCTTGATACGACCAAATGTATTTTTAAATGTTAACTCGAATTTCCAGAGATCTAATAAGCTGGAATATGTTAGTTGACATTTTCTGAAGTCTTGGTTTTCAAGGCAAGGTGTGTTGCAATACCAAAGGCTCAATTTTTCTATTTCTGTTATGGCCCACCAGTCTAGGAGATGGAAAGCGATGTTCCTTACTGTTTTATGCAGCCACATCCTGCTGGTTGTTCCCCACCTCCGGAGCCGTTAAGTAGCAAAAACTCATCATCTGTTAGTAGTGCTGCTGAATTATTCAGGGAAATCCTTAACCAAAATAAATGGTGACTATTCCATCCAATTTCTCCTCCTCTCACTTTCCCATCTCTTTTCCCCATAGACAGATTTTCCAGACTTTCAAGGCTTATGATCACTGTTAAAACATGCAGGAAAAAAATCGAATACCCAAATAGTTTTGTTGCACTTGGGCTTAAAGTCAGTGCTTAGTTTGGTACTGGGATGCTTCCAGTTGAAAAGGGAAATGTGGTGGAAATGGGCGTTTGTTTAATAAAGCTCATTTAAGCCTTTCTATGATCATCCAAGAAGTATTGGAAGGACTCCTTTTACAACAGGATTGACCTTTTAATTTGTTTGTCCTGAGGCTGGTGTTTGTGTTCAGAGTCCATATCAAGCTCCGTCCTCCTCTGTGTGGTTTCTCAGTGCTGTTGCTGCTTCACCGAGAAATCTCTCCCTGACTCCCTTCGAGGCCTGGCAGGTCCCTGCTACCCATGCAACCCTTTTTCTCCCTCGCCTCCCCACCTTTTGTTTCAGGACTCTCCTGCTGCCCCGTCAGTAGCTTCCATCCCTCTCAGCTCTATTGTCTGTGAACACCAAAAGAGTAGAAATAAGAAATGGTTAAAAGGGAATAGATCCGTGGACGGGGAGAAACAAGTGAATAGGCTGTTGCTTTTCATTTTAAGTCCTTCCAGACAGTTACTGCTTTGATGGTGCCAGTTGCCTCCACATAACCATATTATTATGTGTTTCTGTGCTTCTGCACATGCCGTTCCCTCTGCCAGGAATGCAGATTCCGTTGGTAAGGGTCTTGATCGTTGTGTTGACTCCCCGCATCTGGACCTGGGTGTTGCATAGGACCCCATGGCTGAGCTGGCTTGGTTTGGACAGGCTGCCAGGTAGTGCTCTGCCCAGGGTGAGCAGGGCTGGGTCTCTCTTACACAGACTGAGGTGGGCTTACTAAATCCTTTGGGCTTGCCCTCCCTGTTTCCCACAGCAGTCTGAGCTGTCAGCGGAAGAAAGTCCAGAAAAATTAGGAACCTCCCAACTTCATCGTCGCAAAGTCATCTCCTTGAACAAGCAGATTCTACAGAAGACCAAACATCTGGAAGAGGTTGGTGTTTTCTTTTTATAATTTCTTTCAAGTAATATGAAGCTTTTCTTCAAGAAGGGAGAAACCGGAGAAGGAGTGAAGATATTCATGTTAGAATGGAGGTTCTAGAACAGGGATTAGCATACTACAGCCCTTGGGCCAATCCACCTGCCACCTCTTTTTATAAGTAAGGTTTTCTTGGAATATATGCATATCAACTTGTTTATGTATTTTCTGTGGCCGTTTTCAAGCTCCAGGGCAGAACTAAGTAATTGCAGCAGAGACCACATGGCCCAGAAAGCCTAAAATACTTACTACTTGGCCCTTTCCAAATGTGGTTCACAAAGCCTAAAATATTTACTGTCTGGCCCCAACTGAAAAAATTTGCCAACCTAGTGCTAGAAGAACATCACAAGACTTAAGAATAGCATTTATTGATTGACAGCGTTCACTGAGTGCTGCTCCGTGCTAGGCATAAAACTAGGCTGTGGAGATGAACGAAGAACTAACTCATTCTTTTCATACAACATCCTTGTGGAGGAGGTACTGTTGTTCTCCTCCTTTTATGAAAAAGGAAACTGAGAAACAGAGACATGAGGTAGTTTTGCCTGTGATCACACAGCTTACTAATGGTAAAACCAAAATTTTGAATATATAGATCTACCTCATAGTTTCTGATTGACCCCATAATGCAACAGAGTGTATATGTACTATAATTTACTGTACCTGTCCCCTGTTCACGGGTATGTGGATTGTTTCAGGGCTCCCCACCAACTGCAAATTTATGCTACCATGAACATTTTTGTAAAATGGTCATCTTTGAGCAAATATGTATTTGTATAAGAATGATTTTAGGAAGTGGGATTGCTGGGTCAAAAATACAGGCATTTTCTATTTTGCTCGAAACCATCAAATTATTCACCAAACATTCTACCAGTTTATATGTTTATCAATAGTATAGGAGAGAATCCAGACTTCTTAAATCCAGGAACCCCTCTTCCAAGATCATGCAGGTGGAAAGCAAGCAGGAGGCACTCATGGCCTTGGTGACAAGCGTGGGGAGAGTCCTACCCCAACAGAGAAATGGAAGAAGGGCCAAAGCAAGAGAAGGAGTAAAGAGTGGCTCATGGTCCAACAGGGGAATGCATTATAGAGGCATAGAACTGGAACATAGCTAGTAGGCAGCTGAGCAGAAACCTGAGATTGAGGAAGGAAAGAGGAATCCAGAAAGGGATGGTAATCCACTGCTGAATTTGGGGCTGGGTCTAGGAATTAATTTTGAAGAAGAAAACGAGGGCAGGACGATCATGAAGGATTCCAGCGAGATGAAAAGTAGGCTAAGCTACTGAGACATCCTGTGTTTGGGAAAAGATGGTCAGATGAGCAGATGAAGAGAGCTCTTATAAGTTAAATTAATCAAGTGGAAGAAATGAGTCTTCACTTCTTAGCAGGCTCCGTCCCTGCCAAGATCCAGCTCGCATGAGTCTTTGTTGTGAAGCCTTCCTTAGACGTGCTGATAAGCCAGACTGTCCTGGGACCTCCCCTAGGCCTGGCTCTTCCCCAGATATTCTCATACTCTGATCCCTAGTGCACTGGTCCACATCCTGGCAGGTAAGGACTAGGTCATGTTCTTCACCTTCTCCTAAATACCTCATGTGAGCAGAGCACTGGGTAAATGTTAGATGGGGGGCTGGGTGGGTGCATGGGTGAGAGGTGGACAGGAAAGTGGGAAAGGCCAGGACCCCTTCCTGGAGCCACAAAAGGGCTTCAGGAGTTCAGTCACTAGTATTTCAAAAGAAAAATTCTCCAGAAATATTCTTCTCTGACAATTACACAAACATGTCAATGAAAGTTCTCATTGCACAGATGGCTTCCTTGAAGAAGGAGAAGCCAGATCCTACCTGCTTCCTTCCTTTATCACTCTTGCTCTCTGCTTGAGTTGGCTTCTTGATAGGCCTTTTTGGAAATGTAACCATTTATCAGTTATGAAGACTAGAAGCATGATTTAGGAGTAGTGATTTCTGAAGATGACATAATTCTTTAATGGGTTGCTTACACGTTTCAGGATGGGGCAAGTTATTTTGAAGCAATCATTGAGATACAGGATATCTTTGCTAATTTGAACACGGGTAACAGCCAGAGTCTGTTTTCATTTTCTGCCACTTCCCCTTTTCAAAAGTGGAAATGTGCAAACTCTTTGAGCTTTCGATGAATGTTTTCAGATTTTTAAAAGTTCATAGCACAAGAATATATCTTCCAGTAAGGAAAAGAGAAATGACATTTTCCTGATGTAAGTTTACAATCATGTAACTTTGAACAGGAAAGGTCATTCATCTTCTGTCTCTTCGTGTTGAAGTCGTGAATTCTTTCATCTATCTCAGATTGTTTGCCAGCCAGTCATATTCTGTGCTAGCATCCTGAGTTGTGAAATGCAGTTTGTATTCTGGGAATGGGCACAGTGGGTAAGTAAACTGGCTACTTTTCCATAGCCATACAGAAAAGTCAGACCTGGATTTGAATCCTGGCTTTATCAGTTAGCAGCCGTGAAACTTTTGTCCAGCAACTTAACCCCTCTGAGTCTTTAGTTCCTCATATGTAAAATGAGAAAAACGTCTTCTTCCATTGAATGTAAGGATTCAGTGATAGGATTCATGCAGAACGTCTCGTTTGTCCCCTGACATATAGTTGGTGCTAACTATATGAATTTTGTCTTCATCTGTTGTCAGCAACCATTCTAAAATTCCCACATTCACTCAGTTTAAATCTCTGTTGAATTTCCATTTTCCCCTCTGTGAGATGGGGATCCCCTCACAGCTGTGCTGTTTTGAGGACTGAACAAGAGCCGATATCTTTTCCCTTTCTTTTCCAGCTGCAGGCAAGTCATAACGGCCTACAAGCCAGATACGATGAAACAAAGCAAACTCTGACAGAGGTGAGATTTTCAGAACCACTTTTGATCTGCATCACTAATGAAACATCCTGGATTGTCAGCCTTTGTCGACAATTAGGGCTCAGGGGCCATCTGGGGACAGAGGACAAACACATTGTAGCGCATGACCCCTGCCTTCAGTTTACCCACACCGCCATGTTCAAAAGCCTCAGCAGTTTTGGCAGGGGACACTGGCATGGGCCCTAAGGATGGGGAAGGGCTTCCTGAGGAAGGCCAGGCTGATGGGCGGGACATGGGCCTCAGAATTTGAAGTGGGCCCCGCTCCTCTACAACCTTCACAAGCCGCAGGCTAGAGAACAGCCTCAAAATCCTGAATTCCTGAAGAATGAGAGGGTTTCTTTTTATAAGATGAGAGAACTGCAGAGGGCTGTAATTTGTTATTCAGAATTGCTGGTTTTCTTCGAGGTGGGATGGGGGACAGGGTCTCAGGAGGAGGAGGAGGGTTGGTAGGAATATTTCAAATCACGTGACCTGTTTTCTCACCTGAGTTTGGAGTGTGCCATCTCCTGTCAGTGTTAGTGTTGTTTTCTTCCCACTGCTCATTGCCTAGGAAACCGGGCCAAGAAAACAAACACTGTGTCAGGAGGGGAATTTCGATATTTCTGTCCCTCGCCTCTCCATAGAAAGCTGTCCTCATCTGGATCTGATGGTCTCTCCTCTTTGTGATTTTGGTGCTCGGGCCCTAGCTGTACTCTACAAGGACCACATGCAGGGGGGCCCTGCCCAGGACTTTCTGAACCATGTGGAAGCACGACTGATCTTCAGAGATCTCTCTGAGACCAAGGCAGCCCCCCCTTTTCTTTAAATTTCACATGAAATTTGCCTAAAGTTCTTGTTTCTGTAGCCATGTTCGCACTCAGTTCATTGCCTTGTTGTCAGATTGACAAAACTTTGTAATTCCTACTTGGGCTAGTCTCTTCAGTCATTGTCAGAATGTTTGAAAAGGGCAGGCAAAAGAATGAGAGTTGGAATGAATTCTTTGTCCTTCTCTCCAAAGATGCCTGTGTTGCATTTGTACAGATGAGCTCTCTTTACACTGTTCTGTGACTGCATTCCTATGAGTTGGATGGCAGACTCCTGGGGGGAAACCCTGCTGCTATCTAAATGTTAATGCCACAGAGTCCCTGGCATGAAGCTTGCCAAGTCATGGATCAGTCTTTATATAACCATCTGGGGGAGATTAAAGGCAAAGCATCTTGATATCAGTTTCCTAGGACACTTAACATTCCTTAGGATATAAATCCTAAGTGGCTCTGAAGTCGTTTTCTTTGTACTGAACACTAAATCAGATATTTGTTGAGCTCCTTTCATGTGCTAGAAGGGTAGGGATGTGATTTAAGTCAATCATAGGAGCTAGTGTTCTTATCCTCAGATAATCATAGTAGCCGACCTCAGTGTGTGCTGGTGTGCTCCAGGCACCTGCCTTGTACTGGTCCCCTGACTCTCCATAACCATGCTGGCAACGCTATTACCATCCTTGTGCTGCAGATGGGGCACTGAGGCCGTGCAGAGGCTGCCAGACTCCAGCACTGGCTGTCTGGCCCTGCCTCTCCAAAGGCTCACTCACTGTGTAGTAGGGCAGTCACCCCGAGTCTCATCTTGGGAAATGGGATCTATACCAAACTGAGCACTCAGCAACTTCTGGAGAAGCCTGCCTGGTCAGAATACTGAAGACCAGACCCCTGGATAAGTGGTGAACTTCACCTTTGGGCCTCAGCCTCCTTATCTGTTTCAGTCAACAGTTGGCCAACATGAGTACTCTGACCCCTTTTTCCTCCTGGTGCACTGGTTTCACCTTCTTGGCGACACTTGCCCTCCCAGGATAACCTGGCAGCACCGAAAAACAGAAGACCTGTCTTTCCAGCGGATTGAGTAAAGTGGAGCAGGGCAGGGAAGGTCAAGGACAGAGGGCAGCACTTGACCGCCGGGGAGGCTGCACGCCCTTGCTTCGGCAGGCTGCCTGCCTCTAGCCTGTCCGCTGTTTAATTTCAGCAGTCACGACTTTAATTTCCTGTGTGTAAGGTTGATTCTTTGTAGTATGTGCAATATTCTCTCCCATTTCTCTAAGCGCATTAATTGTGTCTAAGTTTTTCTTGATCTATAAACTTTCTTCAGATCAAAATTCATTTGTTCAATTTTATCTTTCTCATTTATGGTTTTATCTTTCTGCACATGAATTTGATAGTTCTTGGTGGCATGCTTATCTTTGATTCTGAAATTTCCCATTACCAACTGTGTGGATTCTGTACCCATTGTATGCAGCCGGCTTTGTGTGATTATTCTAGAAGGGTGGGTTCTCCTGTCGGGTGAGATCAGCCAATAGTAAGTGGTACGTGGTGTCTGGACATTCCACCTTTCACCCTGTCTCGTCAATTCCGGGAGCCTGCCTGCCTCTAGGGCTTGAGCTCCAGCTGGACGTTAGAGGAGCCAGCCTCACCGCTTAGCCCAGCTGCTCCTGCTGTGATCCCAGCCCTGCAGATCACTCTTCCCGTGTCTGCTGATCCCACACAGAGGCCTCCAAGGCCCTGCTTCTCTGTCAGCCACCTTCTTGGCCCTGAGGTACCTGCTCCCTTGTTTGAGCGTCATCATCTGGTTTTTTTAGGGCTGGAGGCAAGAAGGGCTGATCGTACCTTATGCTCTTCTGTTTTCAGCTAGTACTCTTAGAGCGTTTTTTAACTTGTGTTTTGTTTGTTTGTTTGTTTTTTGAGTAGGTAACACAATTCATACAGTTCAAAATTCAAAAAGCACAAAAGTTGTAGTGCTGTAAGCCAACCATAGAGTTCCCCTCTCCAGAGGGGAACCAGTGTCTTAAGAGACAGAAATATTTCATGCACATACAAGGAACATGTATATCCTTTCATACATGTCTACATGTAGGGTATGAATTCCCTCCTACACACTGGAAAGACAGGGCATCAGTTTTTTGTACATTGTTTTCCTCCAGCTAACAGTAGATCCTAGAGATCATCCTTAAAAAGCTGCTTTATTCTTACCTTTTCTTAACAGCTTAGCATTCCATGATATAATAGTACACCTCATAAATGGAAATACGAGTTTCTTTAAAATTTCTTTTTTAAAATCCTCACCGTTTGACTCAGAAAAAGAAAGTGAAGTTTTTCAAGAAGATGGATTTAACCCTTCCCCTGCTAATAGCCATGCATGGCATTTCAATCAGGTCTGTCCCTCGTAGCCTCTTCTTATTCCCCCTTCCTCCTGACCTGCCAAAGGGCCCCTGCTGTCAGCATTGCTTTCGGCTTCCCACCCATCTGCTGCTGTGGTTTACAGCTATTGCCAAGGTTCTTGGACCATCAGAATGTGTCTAAAAGGGTCCAGTGTTGACCTTCCCTGTCGTGCTCCCCACCCCCATCCTGTTTCTCTCGTCCAGCTGTTTTCTCAGCGTGCAGCCAAGTCCGGCGGCCCGGGGCAGCTGCCCCGGAAGTGGGGCGCAGATGTGAGCCGGGGGAGGGCGGACGTGCTCACTCTTGGGTCCTCCCCAGTCCCTAGCAGCAGCACCTCCTCTCTCTGTCTCTCTCTCCCTCTCTCTCCGTGTCTCGCAGCTGAAGCATCACAGTGAGAAACTGGACAAAGAGCAGGCAGCCCTGGAGAAGATAGAATCCAAAGCAGACCCCAGGTGAGAGGTTTCTGCCTATGTGTGTTTCCTCCCTAAAGAAAGTAAGTCTGCCAGTGCCGGGTGGTTTGTTTTGAGCACAGGACCAAGGAGCTAGGGTCACTGCCTCCAGCCCCGAGTCAGTCCTTTCCTTTCACACACCTGATCCAGAATGTGGCATCTCACCATTGCTCAGGCACCTGCTGACACACGCGGCCACATGGAATCTGCCACCTCCTTCACCTGATTCCCCCGGGAGCAGATGCAGCACATTCTTGATTTTGCTTTTTGGGGGGTTTTTGTTTTTAAGAACCAAATAATACATTCACAGAGCAAAAACACATGTGGTGAAAGTCCTCCTCCCACCCCCATGCGCCAGCCACCCAGACTTCCACCTTGGAGTCAGCCCTTGCTACCAGGTTTTTTTTACCGGTGACATTTCAGCCCTGCCTCCTTGGAATTAAAGGTGCGGTGTTTTTGTCTTTTTTTTTTTTTTTTTTTCATTTTAAATTAATTGTCTTTAACAATTTAAATTACATGTAAGACACACTTATATTTGACCTTCTTAGCTCCAAAGCAGTTAGTTGGTCCATGCTCCCTAAGTGTCATTTGAGTGATACTGTAAATCCTAAAAACTTCCGGCTCAGACTGAGCAGTCCCAGGTTTGAAGGACACTTTTAGCAAAGAAGGACCCACAGATTACTTGGCTTGGTAATTAGAGTCCCTTCTTTAGTGATATGAAGCAAAGTCCTGTCAGATACTTGTCATTTTTATTTTCAAATTAATTCTTTTAATGACCCTAAGCAACTTGTTTCCTTTTCCTGGAAATTAGAAACAGGTTGTGATGCTGTCTATGCTCTGAGTACTGCTGAGTAATTGGTACCAAGGAGACCCAGGGCTCTTGAACTCACTGGTGTCTCTGCGGTTGACATTTTAATTCTACATTCTATGATGTTTATTTGGATGTGGCCTGATGGACTTGGGTGTATAAATGACTAATAATGTCATTTAAATGGTAGTCAGTTAAATGGTAATAAATGGTAATTAGTTAAATTATCGTTTGTGGAGAGCCCATTGGAAGCTCTTGCGAGAGACAAGGGAAATTAAGAAGGGAGTCCCTGTTTAGCTGGGAGCTTGGTTTTTTTAGTTGTGATTCAGAAAATCACAACAGCTTTCCATAAGTCATTGTTTGGTCTTCCTTTTTCAGTCTCCTGCAGAACTTGAGAGCACTTGTAGCCATGAATGAAAATCTGAAAAGTCAGGAACAAGAGTTTAAAGCACATTGTCGAGTAAGTGTTGCTTGATGTCAGCAGACCTTGAGCCAGACTCTTGTGAAATGTGTCACCTTACTTCCCCTTGTCCTCTTGTGGCGTCCTACTCAGGTGCCATTGGAAAAGTCGATTCCCAGAGCAGTTCTGTCAGTTGAGTAAGAGGAATAGGGTGCGACAGTGGGTGCTCCCCAAGGTACCGGAAGTGAGTGAGATTAGTACCTGGGTGTGCCAAACCCCAGATTGAGAGCACAGCCTCACAAACACAGTCTAACAAACATTAATTTACGAACAAGTATCTATTTAAAAGTCTCATGAAGTGTGAAAGAATAGCCTCACGCGACCCAGGGCTGTCCCGTCAGCGTAGGTTGTCTGTGTGTCAAGTGAGAAGCCCTTGCCCCTGGCGGTCTGGCGGCGGGTGTGTGCCCAAGTCCATTTACTAGCACTCTGAGTTCTGTCAATGTTTGTTTCCCTTTTAAAGGAAGAGATGACACGGCTGCAGCAGGAAATTGAAAACCTGAAAGCTGAGAGAGTGCCGGGCGGAGATGAAAAGGTAAATGCAGGCTCCGAAGGACCTGTTAGGTGCTGCTGTGACTTACCAGCGGAAGGATTTCTGGAGGACTCCAGCAGTGAGTCTGATGCTGAGAAGGACCAGCCCACTTCCGGGTCCTCTGCACGCACACTTCTCAACTGTTTTCCTCACAGGATTGTCTTAGATTTCCGTGGCTGCCCTTTCTCCTCTGCTGGTGGGTAAAAGGCAGCAGTGCGTGTGCTTAGCAGCAGCTCCAGACAGGACTAACCGAATGACAGGTCTGGCCGCTCTTTCCATTTAGGAAAGGGTATTTCTAGGAACCTGCTGTTGCCCGTGCAGCAGCATGTCCTCTGAGTGTTTCACTGCTTTATTCATTCCATCCTCCACTCCTGCCTAGCGACAGGCCCCACTCCTAAAAGGCAGCAGTAAGCAAGAAACTAGAGGTAGCATCAGAGCCCCAACAGCACTGAACATTGCTGGGCATATGGAACATATCTGACCAGTGCTCTCAGGACCGAGGCCTTGGTCCTCCTAGGAGCTAGTGTGAATTTCCATTAAAAGTTAAGTTAAAACACAGGCCAGAAAGAAAAGTGTTTCTCTCACCAAATAAGATTGTAGGGATTGCTGTTTGTGTTTTCCCTTCTCACAGTTCATTCCAGGCTCATTCTCTGAGGCCCCCTAGGCTGAGGATGCATGAGCTGGACCTGGTCTCTGAGCCCCTTGACTGCACTCTCTCCCTTTAGAACTAGCTTGGGCCGCTCAAGGCTCAGGGAGGGGATGGGACTGGTCCAAGCCAACCAGCACCCATCTGTGTGCCCTCCGCTCGGGGACCGTGCCCCTGGCTGTGCAGCACGTGTGTCTTGAAGGTGCCTCCATGCTGCTGGGACAGGCCTGGCACGGAGGAGTAGCAGAGTCTGGCCGTGCAGTGCAGTGGTGTCCTGGGACCGTCAACACCCAGATGGCCTTTCCGGTTATTTCTAAAACTCTGAACCTTTAGGGCTCAAGTCATCAGCCCAGTCAGCCTCTGAGTTTGTACAAATCAGACTTTCAGGATCCTATTTTTCTTCTTGGCAGTCCCATCTTGTTAGAGGGATTATCCCATTCAAAGACAGTTGCCGTTTACCTTGTTTGGGTGTGACACCCATTTAGGAACAATTTAAAATCTGGGGCCTGAAGACGGTCAGTGAACTGTCCCCCATGCCCACCCCGACTGCTTCCTGCAGTGCAGACCCACAGCTTCTGTCCCATTTCCCTTACTCAGGAAAGTGTGTGTTCCTTTTCTTTGTTTCAGAGCCTATCTGCTGGAGAGCCACGTGGTGCCCTAACCCCCGTGATGACTCCTAGTGTAAGTGCCCGCCTACCCGTCGGCACTGCCGCTGTCTTCCTCGGGCGCAATGGCCAGCACTGTACCTTCCCCTGACAGCTTCTCCTGCCGACTTGTCTTCTCTGTGACCACCGCTTCACGGGCGGGGTCTCGAGGGCTTGCCCCATTGTACACTCGTAGCCCCTCGGACAGAAGTGGGGTCTCCGCAGGGATGGCCCTGAAGACTGCCATTCTGGTGGGGTTTCTCCCACCACTCTGTGCCTGTCCCAGGCATCTGTGTCTGCTCTGGCATCTCGGCTGAGAAGGGGAGGCTCGTGACTTGGCCATACAGGCTTGTCACAACACATAGGCACTGAGGGGCAGAGGTGATGCATGGGGAAGAACTCTCTACTGTACTACAGTTCAAGGTCAGCAAACTGTAAAGAGCCAAATAGGAAATACTTTCAGTGTGATGTGCCAGCCTCACTCTAGCAGCCATAGTCAGTATGTAAATGAAAGGACGTGGTTATGTTCCTGTAAAACTTTATCTACAAAAATGGGCAGTGAGGCTTAGCTCAACAGGCAAGTTTGCTGACCCCTGTTCTGAGTTAAACCCATGCTCCCCACACTCCAATAAACATCCAGGAGAAAGAAAAAAAGGAAAGGAGGAAGAAGAGCAAAGCAGGAAAGCCTCTAAAGGTTTGCCTCCTGTAATGTTCACCTCTTCCCCTTGTGGCCTCAGACTGAGCTTCAGGAGTCCTGTAGTACAGCCATGTGGGGTTTGGGTGCCGCCAAGCCCTGTGGAGGAGACGGAGTGTGTTTGTGTGGGGGGTGCATGCACGTGTACACACATGTGCTGGGGGAGAAGCCCCCTCTGACCCTGTTCATTGCTTGCTTTGGTGCAGCAAACCACGTCACCATGGCTCTTACCTCACTGGGCTCAGCAAGAGCTAGTTCCTCTCTTGTGCTTTAGTGCTGTCCAAAAGAACTTTCTGCAGTGAGGGCAGTGTTCTGTATCTACGCTGTTCCGTACAACAACCACCAGCTCCTTGTGCTACTGAGCCCTTGACATGCAGCTGTTGCAATTGAGAAACTGAATATTTTTAAATTTCATTTAATGTAAATTTAAATAGCCACACACACCTAGCATCTATCACGTTGGACAGTAGAGCTCTAAGTAGAAAGAAAGAAAGCAAACCAGTATCACTATAAACACGGCGACTTCGAACAACAGGTTCCTTAATAATTATCTTCTTACCATCATAGTTTTGGAGGGGGGGAGGCACATAAATTTGGAGGATACTTCACTTAAGAGCGCTAGACCCCAGAAAAAGGAAGAACTGTTATAAAGTGAGGTTGAAAGATTTTCAAGGGATTCACAGGACACGGGACCCAGACCCGAAACTTGGCCATTTGAGAAAAGAAATTTGGGGCCTCGGAATGGAGAGATGTGATCAAAATAAAATTCAGTTTTAAAATAATTTATCGAAGATTGAAAGCTGCCTGCTTTTATTATTTATTTATTTATTTATTTATTTGACAGAGATCGCAAGTAGGCAGAGAGAGGAGGAAGCAGGCTCCCTGGCGAGCAGAGAGCCCGATGTGGGGCTTGATCCCAGTACCCTGGGATCATGACCTGAGCCGAAGGCAGAGGCTTTAACCCACTGAGCCACTCAGGCACCCCAAAAGCTTCCTGCTTCTAGATAATTGTGTCCTTTTCCAATTTTTAGGAAGACCTAGACAGACGATATAACATGGAGAAAGAGAAACTTTACAAGATCCGTTTGCTACAGGTAAGTAAAAGCAAGGACAGAAAAGTACACCTGCCTGGGTATCCTGGAGAGGACTAAGACGTCTCAGTGTCTAAGAACAATGGGTACGAAGGCTGCTATTTGCCAGTCTTCAGTCTGGGGGGGAACTACGTGGTTTAAGATGTTGACAGTAATACCTCACATTCGTTCGTTACTTTCACGGTCATCTCGATGGATTTGACCACGATCCCTGCATGGAGAGTAGGTATTACCTTCATTTTCTATACGAGGAGATCGACTCCAGTCAGTTAAGTACTGTCCAAAGTCACGCAGCTGGTAAGTGCCAAAGCCAGCCTTCAGGTTCCGATGCTCTTGTCTAGTACTTTTCCTCTAAAATCATGTGCCCATTTTAGCGGTCTTATTTGATAAACTTGGAGGTTTGTAAGAAAGCCATCAAATATGAGGGAAGTGGGTTTTAGAGTTGGTTCCAAAGCTGAAGTCACATAGAGTCATAATTTCATTGCACGATTCCCTGGCATTGCCAGAATCTGACTCACGGAAGCTCGGAGGCCGGAGTTAACCCTTGTTGTTCTTTGCCATGGGCCTTCTCCCTGTTCTCGGGGAAGAGAAAGCCAGGCTCCGGCAGGAACAGTCAAACGGCTGCAGGGCCTTGTTAGCCCCTCTCTCCTATCTCTGGCTCTTGCTTCCTTTGCTGAGCTGTTTGGTTAAATTCAGTACATCAGATTTGTCCTTGGCACAGGGACACTGCTAATCTTTAAAGAAACAGAATTAAATGGAACCTGGAAAATATATAGCTGCATCCTTGAAGACTTTGTGACTCTGTGTTTCCTGTATGGATATTCAGTGCTGTGCTAGGCGCCAGGAATAGAAAAGGGATGGCCCATCATCCGGGAGCTGGCTGGCTATTTGAGAACCAAGATATATCCCTATCCATGCAAGTACAAGGGAGTTGTTATGCAAATTGCCTATCCTGGGCAGCTATTTAGACTCTCTATTTAGCAGCTATTCAGACTCGCTAAAGGGAAGCTACAGTAAAACCATAAGCCTCCTGAGGGCCTGAGCCAGAGTGGGGACCATGGGCCCAGGCAGACATGAACTGGCACAGGAGAGATTGAGAAGCTGGTGCTTGAATTTCTGACTCAGGTGGGTACTTGTATTATTCACTGAGAAGAAGCATTAAAAAAAGAACAAGGTTCAAGGGTGTGTGTGTCTGTGTGTGTAGGAGTGTTACTGAGATCTCTTTGCGGCTCTTAAAAGTTGGGCACTCAACCAAATAGAAAGGCTTTTGAGGGGTGAGGGACGTTAGCCTATCTAAATGCTGGTGAGAAGGAGCCAGTCGAAAAGGAAAGACTACAGATGGAGTAAAAGCAGTAAGATTCCTGAAACAAACAAACGCAATGCAGGAGTCTAAGCCTGAGCCCCCAGGGACAGGGGAGCCTTGGCCAACAGGACAAGCACATTTTCCCCTCTGACCAGACCCACAGAGACCTTGCTCTGGGTTTGGTGGGTTTCTCTCCTGGAGGCTTGCATTTCCCCGGTACTTAGAGACCCCCATGCGCTGTTGTGAGCAGGGAGGCCGGCAAGGGAGATGAGGTGGCACAGAAGAAAGGGGACGGTGTGAGAGCCCAGCCACGCTGCACTGCTCTGCCTCCTCAGGTGCCGTCAGTGGCCAGTTTGCCTGCTGTACCCCCCAGTCCATGGTAGGGCAGAAGTAGGAGGAACACACCATAGGAGTAAGTTGTTCAAGCGTTTCAGTAGGCTAAGGAATTTGGAATTTATATGGAGGTAGCAGGGTGGTGTCCATTCTGCTGATGGCGGAGTCAGCTGCTCGAGTCCTCTGGGGCCTGGAGGGATGGCTGAGGGCTGTCCACAGAAGCCCTTCCCACTCGGACTCTTCCATCCCTCACCATTCATTTGCTGCCGTCTCTGGTTCTAGTTCATAGCCACACACACACACCTTTTCCCTGTGTTGCAAAGTGGGAGGAGGGGCCGTCTGAGATGGGGTCCTCAAGCCAATAGCAGATTTTGGGGTGGGGTATGCGGTTATGCTCAGAAGGAGGTGGGGCAATATTTTGGCTCCCCAGAGAACATGTAAGATCTTTTACCAAATAGCATTGTCTCCCCCTTCCTTTTGGTTTTAGGCTCGAAGAAATCGAGAAATCGCGATTTTGCACCGCAAGATTGACGAAGTCCCCAGCCGAGCTGAGTTAATACAGTATCAGAAGAGATTCATTGAACTCTACCGTCAGAGTAGGTGCAGTGAACACAGTCATGCTCCACACTGGGCCTGGGAGGCACAGGGGGCAAGGGTTCTGTCCTACATGCGTGGGCTAGGGCGTGCATCACTCCACACTGAGCCTGGGAGGCACGGGGGGCAAGGGTTCTGTCCCATGTGCGTGGGCGAGGGCGTGCATCGTGGCAGTCAGTGAGAACCACCACCTGCCATCTCGGGCCCCCTGGGCCCTCATTCCGCAGAGTCCACTGCTAAGTGACTCTTAATCCCAAGAGCAGCCCTGGGACACTCTGCCGCCCTCTCTATGGCCAGATAGAGCTCACTGAGCTCCTAGCGTGACGTTTTGAACGCACCCTCTTCCTGGTCAGCCGTTTGGCCACTGAGCTCCCCGTCCGCTTTCCAGCCTTACCCAGGACATGAGCACTCCATGATACAGGCCTCTGGATCAGTCCTTGGTCACTGTTCTTCTAGGTGAACCTTCTTGCCCATGTGGTCCTGACTTTGACAGCACTGTGTTCACCCAGTAATCCAGGACTGGGTCTCCCTCAGCTGGAATCAGTGAGCTGGTCCTGTCAGGTTCAGAGTGACCCTCAGAGTTGTCACTGCCACTCTGTTCCCACTGCCACTGTTGTAACTGTTCTTAATTGTGTCAGAGCTCAGCTCAATGACCGTTAGCTGGTCTGAGTCCCTTACCCCCTGTCATGTGCCCTCTCTCTCTGCTGACCAGTCTTCAGGAGTGCTGTGGGCCTCCTGAAGAAAACATTTCTCCTCCTTATCTCCAGGACCTCCCCAGTCTGAGCAGCCTGCTTGGAGCCCGCCTTTCCTTCTCCGAGCCCACATTCTGGCTTCCCCAGTGCACACACCACCCCTCTACACACCATGCACTTTGACACACAGCTTAGACCTTGACTCCTCTCGTTACCTGTGCCTGGGACCCCTTCCCAACTCTTCAGACCCAGCATATACAAAACTGAATTCAGCCTCCCTACCCTGTTTCTCCTTCTGGTCACGGGGATCACTGTCTAGCTCTCCCAGCCCCTTAGTCTTCTCTGGCTCTCGCTGCTCTTCTGGTTCTGTCTCCAAGTAATGGTCAAGTCCGTTTCTTCTGGACTGTTGCTGTAGCCACCTTCTCATCACTGCCCAGAGTCTGCACTCTTGTCTGAGAAGTCTTTCCCAAACAGAAATTTGATCACTTTATACTCTTGCTTTAAAAGCGTTAACATGGAGTAGCTCTCCATAATCATTGGAGGATCTTCAGGTCCTCATGATACTGATCAATGTCCTGCATCAGTCAGGCCAGCTTCCCCGGCTGTCCCTCAGTGTCTCACCCATCTCGTGAGGACATCTGCCTTTTGGCCTGTGAGCTGCTCCCCAAGTCCAGAATGCCACTGTCCTGCAATTCTCACTTGGCAGACTCCATCCCTTCTTCTAGAATCCCCCTCAGGTTTTGCCTTGGGCTCTTGGCCTCTCGAACATCCTTCCTGGTTCAGGCCAGAGCAGTGTCCTTACTCGGGTCGGAGTCATGCTTCCCTTCCTGCCTGCCCCCATCCTGATGTTGTATACGGCCCTTGAGCTTGGTTCAGGTGGTCTGCGCCAGGTATCAACAGTGGCAGCTTCTCAGCAGAAAATAGTTTCTGCCTTAAGTTCAGTCTTTCCCTGTAATTCTGTATCCCTGCCTACTTTCCAGCTTTTTTTTTTTTTTAAAGATTTTATTTATTTATTTGACAGAGATCACAAGTAGGCAGGGGTGGGGGGGGGAAACAGGCTCCCTGCTGAGCAGAGAGCCCTATGCGGGGCTCGATCCCAGGACCCTGAGACCATGACCCGAGCCAAAGGCAGAGCTTAACCCGCTGAGCTACCCAGGTGCCCCTACTTTCCAGCTTTTAACAGTAATAATAATCAACAATACCTTGCATCTGTGTATTTCAGAGTAAAATTTGACACATGTTCAAGTCCTTTTTATAGCACATTTTTACATCAAAGAAATTTTCAAGGAGTTTCACCAAAATATCTATATCATTTTCATTATTATTGTCAAATATCTACAGCCCCCACCCAGTCCTTGATCTGGATAGAGGAACATCTATCCTGATGTTCCTGAGCAACAAAACTAAAGGTTGATTGGTTTATGGCAGTGATTTTCAGCCTTGGCTACCTATTGTAATCACCTGACCCCACCTCCAGAAAATCTCATTTCATTGGTCATGAGATTTTAAAACTCCCCAGACTGTTCCATGTTTTGGCCAGGCTTGAAATCCATTGTTCTGAAGTTCTGAGCAAGAATCGTATTTTAGGGACACCTGGGTGGCTCAGTGGGTTAAAGCCTCTGCCTTCGGCTCAGATCATGATCCCAGGGTCCTGGGATCGAGCCCCACATCGGGCTCTCTGCTCAGCAGGGAGCCTGCTTCCTCCTCTCTCTCTGCCTGCCTCTCTGCCTACTTGTGATCTCTGTCAAATAAATAAATAAATAAATAAAATCTTTAAAAAAAAAAAGAATCGTGTTTTATGCTGAGTAGTTCATGTAGTGATTTTGTTACAAATTAGACATTTTGATATTGGGAACGTTTTTAACTGTTGCCTCAGAACACTTGTATTGGGTTATTTATTTCTGTTACCAAACGTGTACAACAGCATCGCCAGTCCCCACCCTGCTGTGGGAGGACATAGCTATCACTGGGTGATAAAATTAAAAGTTGGCCAGTTTGCTTAAAGATTCAGGGTTAAGTGTTAGTGGGAGTCACCCAAGGAAACCACCAGTGCCCATGGCCTGCTGTGCCTCTCTCTCCTCCCCTGACTTGTGCTGCTCCAGAGGGAATCTGTGTTCAAGGAGCAAGAGCCCCTGGGGAGACAGACCCCACTGTCATCTGGCCAGTGCCTGATCACCATTTAATGTCGGGATCTTTGGTTCCACCTATGTCGGAGGGCTCAGGTTAGGCCCAAAGCCTGATTGTCAATCCAGGTCATGGATTGCTAAGAGAACTCAGAGCAATGAGGAAGGCACATGGCACATGGGCTCAGAGCCATGTGGGGGCCACCCAAGCACCCAGCCACAAAGCAGGAGGATGAGCTGGGGCCGGAACCCTTCCTCCCATTGACCTCGTCCTCTGATGAATACGGCCCAGTCCCAGTCCTGGAATTTGGTGCTTTCCTCCTAAGTCATTCTGTAGGGAAGAGTGAAGAACATGAGGCGGACAGAGGTGCAGAGTCATGCTACAGGAGAGGGTGCTGGGAGCCTGGTAAATAAGACCTTCCCCCCCTAGTCGTATGCACAGAAATGGGAAGAATATTCATACTTACCAGGTACATATGCTGCCCTGGGTTAGGCATGTCATTCATCCTGTAGGTATTTTGGGGGGCCCTGCTGTATAGGCCCCTGCTAAGCATAGGGATTACAAAAAGGAGCAGACGTTATGGGTCCTGCTCGTGAGCGATGTGGGAAGGAAGGGAAGCCACATGACAGGAGGAGGTGGCATGGGTTTCCTCATCCTTGCCACTTCCCCCTGCTCGACCCGGACACCTTACCTGAGAAACCCGCCTGTCCCAGGTGCTGCCAGGTTCCTCTAGCCCCTCGTCCCAGTTGGGCCAGTCACAAGAGGCTGGCTCCCGCGCCCTTGGCAGCTCTGCACAGGCTGGTGTGCACTGGGGCTTCTGCACAGACACCTGAGCACACCGGGCTCCTGTGGGCGGGCTTCCTGGGGCAGGGGATGCTTAGGAGTGTTCTGATCCATTTTCTTATTCGTGTGTCGATTTCTTTGCATTTATAGTTTCAGCAGTGCACAAAGAAACCAAGCAGTTCTTCACTTTGTATAATACCCTGGATGATAAAAAGGTGTATTTGGAAAAAGAGGTAAGAACCTGTATGAAAAGAAAATAACTTAATCAGATGATCAGAGACCAGGGCTATTGACCTCTGGAAGGTCAGATGAACTGAGCAGGAGGCCGTCAGCATTAAGTGGAAGGAGAGCCTGCTGTGCGCCCCGTGCTGGGTCACAAAGTTAGAGCGGAAGGGTCACGTCGGAGCTAACGTTGCACGTGCACCTGGGCCCACGTGGAACTGGTGGAGCGCGGTTTCGTGGTGCCCTATGAGAAATGACATCTAGAAACAAACACAACAGGCTCACAGGGAGGGAGCCCGGCTTGGCAAAAGTTACGTTTGAGTTTTAAAGGAAGGGAGGAAGCAGCAAAATAAAATGGGGATGGTGGGCTTATTCAGGTTGATGCGGGGAAACTAGCTATTTCGTCATCACCGTTCGCCAAGAATGAGGAAGCTGCCCCAGACACTGACGCTGCCCTCCGCATCATTCCGATGCTCTGCGTAAATCCACTCATGACTCGGGGCTCCCTCCCATCCAGCAGCAGATGACTGGAGCAGGCCGGCAGGGTGTGCAGCTGTAGTTAAAGGAAGAAGAAAAGAAACAATGCGGTCTTCACAGGAGCAGCATAGCGCAGTGGCGAGTGTATGCGCTTTCAAGTTGGACAAGTTTAGGGGTTTTTCTGTAAAGAGGGAATTGCACCTGCTTTGTATGACTGTGACGGAGACAGAATGGGAAATGACGGTGAAGGTCCTTGCATCTGGTGACGCCAGGCACATACTAGTCCTGCCCACCCCTCACCTCCAGGTCAGCAGAATCTGTTTCCATTTCATCACTGGGCCAACCCACACTGATTACCCCTCAATAAGAACCATATCACAGGTGCATCTTTCACATGGCCCCAAATGGAGGCCTGTGTAATTAGTGTCCCCTTTCTGGGCTGTTGTCAGCCAAACCAGATCAATCTCTGTCTTCCTAGAGGACACTTCTGAGGAGGGGCATTGAGTTCTGTTTTTCTCTATATCTGGTCTTCCACAGTGACGGGCACATGGCAGGCTCTTACCTCCTTTTGCTTATAGGTTTTCCTTTTTCTTTTCCTCTCCTCCTCAGATCAGCCTGCTGAACTCAATTCATGAGAACTTCTCACAGTAAGTATTGGCAGGCCTCCTTCCCATCAGTACCCGGGTGTACCCTGCACAGTGCATTCTGCTCACCTCCCTGCCGGTAGCAAGTACAAGGGGCGAGATGAGGCTAGACGGGTGGTTTTTACGCTTTCACCCCTACTGCGAAGTGCACCTGTGTCCTGCTTTACATAGTCTCAGGGTTCTTGCAAAAATACCATGATGTTAGAGGGAGTTTGAGAAACACCAAGGAATATCTTGGGGAAAGAAGTAACTTCCAAGTAATTTGTGCCTCACTAGTATAATCTCTGTTTATTTTTTTTTTTTTGTCTTGTTAAGATTTGATCAATACCATTAGTTCTTGAGCACGTAAAGATGCTTCACAATCTAGATAATGAAATAATCTAATTTATAAAAAGATTTTTAAATCTAATGATAGATTTTGCTTTTAGGTCACTGTGCATCTTCTAAACAACTTTATTCAGATAGGAATTCTTTTTCCCCAAGAACTATATGGCAAGGCCCACCTGCACCCAAGTCATACCAGCCCTCACGCGTGCCCAGTGGTCTGCTCATCGTCCAGCAGCCCAGGGCTTGCTGTCTATACAGCAGTCTCCTTTTGCTTCCAGCACAAACCTCTCTTAGCCCCTGGCAGGTGACCGGTAACTAAGATCTGAATGGATTACAAACTCTAGATCTTAAGCTTCATTTCTAACTAAAAATCACAGCTCCCTGATAAGATTCAGATTCAGTTAGTGACTTATAGCCCTGTGACATTTCTAAAAATGGTGACTTCCTCATTATTTCCTGATAATTGAGAGACACTACGGTGTTCGATGGTGCCATGATGAGCTCTGCTCTGTCAGCCATCCTGTGGAAGAATTCTCAGTCCCTGTGTCTGTGGGCTTGTATCCTTGTGGTGCCATTCCCAGTGCAGAACAGGAAGTGAAGGGGACAGTTTCAGGACACCAGGAAATCCACTCATTTAGCTGCTGCCTTGAGAAACAGGACCAGGTTTCCTGACCGTGTATTTAGGAAAATCTCAGAAGAGGTTTACCAGTCTGGAGCAGTGCCTCCAAATCCTCAGATTTCTAAAAACTAAATGGAAATCATTTTTTAGGCAGTGTAAGTCATCATCAAAGTAAGAAATGTTTTTGTTGATTTTAATAACATTTTGTTTTACTTTACGTAAATACATATTAAGCAGTTTGTAGAGAAAGTGAGAAAAGATTAATATTCAGTTATGAGATGAGGCTAATTGTCATGCCTTCCTCGGAGGTTAGAATTCCTAACTGCCTTGGACTCGATGCCTCCCCCTTCCTCAGTGTCCCGCATTCTGTTCCTCACTCTGCTGATTGTTCCTTTCAGAGCCATGGCCTCCCCTACTGCCCGGGACCAGTTTTTACGTCAGATGGAACAGATCGTAGAAGGAATTAAGCAGAGCAGAATGAAGGTGAGAGGGCTCGTTTTCTGTAGTACAGCTGGGATCTCAACCTGGTTTCAGAAAAGGTCTTGGGAAGAGCAGGCCTCTTCTGCTTGTCTTGAGAATGTGCTCCCAGTCCTGAAGACCCACCTTCAGTGTCCACAGAGTGTGTGCCCAGCATGCCTCTGATCCTGCAGTGGGCAGTGCCAGCTCCACAGGCTGGTGATTTAAAGGCAGCTCTTAACAGTAGCCCCATGGATTGAACACCCACTATGGGCCAAGCCTGGTGCTAGTCCTCCTAGAAGGTTCCTAAGTGAGTAGTGTTACCCCCATTGTATAGGTGGGGAAACCAACTTTCACCAGCGTCGTCTTCTCTTGCTCACAGTCTCTTCCTCACTGGATCTTTGGTTCCTTTAATTCTGCCATTAGAGATTCATTCCTTAGGATCCTGAGAGCATTTTAGTTTTCAGGAATCTTCTATAAAAAATGCAAATAATTACCAAACTGAATTCTGAAGTGAGAGGATGTTATGCCTCAGAATAGAAGAGAGGTATCAGTAAGCATTGTGAGAGTTCCAGAGATAGCTTTACAGAGAATCATTCAGTCTGGGGCCAGCACGGAGTTTTTATCAGTCTGTGGCTCTGCACTTGGGCCATTTTGACAACAGTAAGAATTTGATGACTGTCTGGAAATCAGACGTAGTCACAATTTTCTGCTGTTATAACCAGACGAGAACTCACTAATACTCCCAAATCTCTTACTTTTGATCCCTTTAAAAACATGGATCACACTGGAATGGTCCTCAGGCATGGCCGTGTGACCTTCTGGGGACTCAGGGCACCTGCTGTCTCGAGCTTGGACAGAATGATATTGGGAGTGACGCCAGAATTCAGACACACAAAGGAAAGAGTGTCTGTGGTACTTGTCATCGTAAAAACCCACACACAGATGGTAAACCTTCACGCTGCCTATAATCTCATCTCACAAGAGATGAACTAAGGGCAGAAGCTCTTTATATCCCTTCCCCTCTAGAAAAAAACTAATCTCCCCATTAGTGACTTCAATAAAATGATGTCAGTGGAGGAAAAAAACAATTACTACTAGTGACAAAACTATTCGGCCCCAAAAATGAAAGTAGTTGTGAGGCAGCACGTGGCCTGCCTTGCACGGGTACACAAACCCAAGTCAGGACAGTCCCTTCTTGATGAGCTAGGTAGGGTGTAACAGAGGAGGAGCACAGAGAGCCCAGCCGACCACAAGCCTTTAACAAGATCACAGCGTGGCAGGCCTTTCCGCCCTGCCATCATGCCGTCATGCTCCTCCTTAGGGACCGGCTCTTTTTTTTTTTTTTTTTTTTTTTTTTTTGAGAATTTAAGAGAGCTGCTGAGTGGGGGTCAGGGAGAGAGAGAAAGAATCTTAATCAGTTTCCACCCCAGCACAGAGCCTGATATGGGGCTCCATCTCACAACCCTGAGATCATAACCTGAGCTGAAATCAAGAGGCAGCGGCTCAAGCCACTGAGCCACCTGGCAACCTGCAGAGCTGTTCTTGTCCATAGTAAAGAACACGGGCAATCGATTTGGGGTTTGTTTCTTTCCCCTTGGCTTCCCCTTCCTGTTTACCAGGAGATGCCTTCCTAGGGAAGGAAGCGGATTTCATCCATTCATCATCTCCATTCTCCCCCAGGCTTCATGCTGTTGGTACCTCAGTGCTGACCGGTGGAAGAGGCTGCTCTGTGCATCTGCCTCCCCAGCTAGGTGGTGGGGTACGAGATGGGGGAGCATGCCCACGGGCAGAGAGGGCTCTCTTCTTCGTGTGTGCATCACCAGTGGCGAGCCCGGCACCTGACCCATGGTGGGCTTTCAGGAACTGTTTGCTGAGTGAGTGAATTCGTTCAGCTGACTGCAAAGGCAGTTCTCAAAGACGGTTCCCGGTCAGGTTTGAATATTGGCTGGCACTTCAAATGCAAGAAGGCTGTCTTTGCAGAACAGCATGCATTTGAATGCATGTTTTTTGATGTATTTGTTTTAAAAACCATAGTACTCCCTGTATGGATGCCGCAGTGGCTCCTGCGCAGAGTGTATGTGGCAGGGAGTCTGTGTCCTCATGGAGCACACACACTCCCAGAATCGGTGGCTGTGGGATGTACACAGAGTGGACCATAGACCAGCAGTGTGTACACGCAACAGTGCATGGTACACAGAGGGGCTCCTGAGTGAAGAGAGAGTCACTTAGTGAAAGGCATTTTATTTTTTTAAAGCTTTTATGTATTTGACAGAGAGAGAGCACAAGCAGGGGGAGTGGCAAGCAGAGGGAGAGGGAGAAGCGGGCTTCGCGCAGAGCAAGGAGCCCAATGCAGGGCTCGATCCCCATTCCCTGGGATCATGACCCAAGCCGAAGGCAAACACTTAATGACTGAGTCGCCCAGGCGCACCGCTGGAAGGCATTTGCACCTCATCCTGAGGAGGTGAATCCTGGGAGCAGGTGCTCAGCAGAAGAATCTGGGGCTCCTGACCTAGGATGTGGGGGTGAGCAAGGAGTGGGAACAGTGTGCCTGGGGGACGGGCTACTAGGACAATGTGAAAATAAAACTCAGACCTAAGAGTCAGCTCCTGATTCTGAGGGTGAGGGGGCTCGATCTTCTTGTTACCACTCACATTCTGGGTGTCGGTGTGAAGACAAAACCTAGTCTTTGTTGAAGAGCTACTGTGAATCTAGTGATGTGTCGTTCACATCACAGTTAATGTCATCTGTACCTTGTGACCTGTGATCTAGGTGATAATATCCTTATTTTGCAACTAGGATACCTGTCATTCCGAAAGATGAAATAACCTGTCCAGGGATGCACAGTGAGTATAGGACAGGGGGCTCAGGATCAGGTCACCAGGTGACTTAGGAGCTGGACAATGGTCAGGAGTGGTCCAGGCAGATCAGTGACTCTGTGGGTGGGATAGGCTTTGGGGACACCGGGTTGCAGTTCACCAGGTGATGGGCCTGGGGATGCCTGGGATCCCACGCAGCCAGTGAAGCTTTAACCTGAATTTACTGGGCAGTCCCTTCCAATGCATACCTCAGAAGCCCTGCTCAGGCGTCAGAGGCCAGTGAGTCTGTCCAACGCACTCGTGAGCACCTGCCGTGAGCCAGGCACCAGCTGCCTCCACAGCTTTCTGCCCTCGCCATCCGCGATGCTCTCACTTGCTGCTGGAAATCATGCACATACCACTGCCGACTCTGCCCAAATGTCATCTCCTCAGAGAGCCCTCTCTGACCCTCCAGCCTGAAGGGGCCGTGCACCCACCCACCTCTCGTCCCGCAGCCCTGTCACTGTCTTCACAATGGTGATCACGAATAGGACTTTGCACACAGAGCTCATTGTGCGAGATGCGTGGTTAGCATCAGCCCCTCTAGCTCGCACCCTCCATGGGAACAGTGACGTGACCTCGTCACCACCACATTTAGTCCTCAGGGTAAACACGCAATATTTGTTCAACTATTAAGCTGTTAGGTACCTTAGGAAAATCTCTTTAACCCAAATGCATCCTGTATTTATGAGGTCACTGTCCTGGAAACACTCTAAATTTTCCACCAATAGAAAAATGGGTAAAATAGCAGTAAGATTGGGAATATTCTTAGAGTTTTTTTGGTTTTTTTTTTTTTTTTTTTAGGATTGTATTTATTTATTTGACAGACAGAGATCACAAGTAGGCAGAGAGGCAGGCAGAGAGAGAGCGGAAGAGAAGCAGGCTTCCTGCTGAGCAGAGAGCCCGATGCAGGGCTCGATCCCAGGATTCTGGGATCATGACCTGAGCTGAAGGCAGATGCTTTAACCCACTGAGCCACCCAGGTGCCTTGAGTTTTTTAGGTTTTGATTGTAGAAAGTGTATAATAGCATGGAAATACTATGAAAATGTATGGAAATAATGCATGAAAGCAGACTCAGTTATTTACATAGGGGTTCCTCAGCCTCAGCACAGTTAACATTTTGGACCAGATGACACCTTGTCATGTGTGAGGGCTGGGCTGCACATTGTAGAAGGTTTAGCGGCATCCCTGGCTCCTAGTGGACCCTCTCCTCTCAGCTGTGGCTACCTAATCCATCCCCAGACACTACCTCATGCCCTTCAGGGGCCAGAATAGCCCCTGGTTGAGAAGCACCAGGCTGCTGATTGTGAAATTGTAGACACACACACACGCACGCAAATGGGACAGTTAGTTCCTAGTATTAGAACTGCTGAAGAAATGAGAGAGGCTTCTATGTAATTTCACCCAAATAAATAGGTCAGTCTCAGAAGTGGTGTGCAGAAAGAGAAATACTGGAAGTGCATGAAGATATTGGTAACAGTTGCCTTCTGAGTGTTGCCAGCAGCCCTTGGTCACAATGTGCCCCTTCCTCCCCATTTCCCAAACTATTTCCACAGATGGAAAAGAAGAAGCAAGAGAACAAGATGCGAAGAGACCAGTTGAACGACCAGTACTTGGAACTGTTAGAAAAGCAGAGGCTGTACTTTAAGACTGTGAAGGAGTTCAAGGAGGTAAGGCGGAGATGGGGCCAGCCACAGAAGGCTGTGGAGGGGTTGTGTATGTCTCAGGACAAGCCTTGAAAAACCAGAGCGGTCGCCTGGTTCCCCACTGGTCTGGGGATGGGCCACAGCTGTGTGATCCCACCGTGAAGTACCGCATCTATCTAGTTCAGGACTGTGTGGTTCGCCGGCCCATTCTCAAGTCTCGAACATTCTGAGAGACATCACGTCTTCATTTTCATTCCCCTAACGTTTAGTAAGCATATTAAACCCATAAGAAAATAGCTTCAAAGGCCACCTGGAAACAGCATTCATTACACTTTCATATCTGGAACTTTCCTTCGTCCCATCCGAGGTGGGAGAGGGACCTTGAGAAGCCTGTGGGAAAAGTGAACTTTGAGCTTGGCAGGCTTGGGTTCGAACCTGCCTTTAGCACTTACCAGCTGTGCACTTGGGCAGTGGCTAAATCCCCTCACACCTGTTTCCTCGTCGGTGTTTCTGCTGGGTCACATGAGGGATAAAGGTGTCTAGCACTCTGTCTGCCTCCTATGATGTCCAACACTCAGCTGAATTTTGTCTCCGTCTTCTCTCCCTGCATTTGGGAATGGACCATGCTCCATGGGCTCAGAAAGAAAAGTGTTTGTCCTTTTCTTACAAGATTTTCCAGAAAGGAGACTTCATTTTGTCACTTACTGGGGTATCAGCAACTTCATTTTCAGGAATTCCTTCCCCCTTTCTAACTCAAATCCGTGTGATTTCAGGGAGTATCGGGATTGCTGAATATAGACAGCTACAGGTGTAGCTTGTATGTATCCTGGTGTTGGGTCTGCAGAATAAAAAGTACGATCTTTTTATACCAAAAATTTTATTTCTGTACATTTTTAAAAATCTGTTTCTCCTTCCCAATTTTTCCTTTTCTACCTCTCCTTTCCTTTTTTTTAATTTAACTTTTGGGGGCCACAACCCACAGACATTTCAAAATCTTTCACGCTTTCCATAAATATTCTTCCAGCTCCTTCCATGCCTCTGGGGTTATATCAGGTTGTTAAACAGACCCACTCCCTGTGTCAAGAAGCTTAATGTTGTGGTTGGGGACACAGCAAGCTAGAAAACACAAATCCCAGTAAACAAGTAGTAACAAATAACTAGTCTTGGCTGGGGGTAGGGGCACTAACAGAGATGGCGCGGTCAGGGAAGGTCTCTCTCGGGTGTGGACTTGGCCATGGGCGTAGCAGGAGACCTAAGGCTGGGCAGCTGGGAGAGTGACTGGGTGAAGTCCTCAGGGTCTAGGAGCCCCGTGTGGTTAGTAGGGGCTGGAGCTGAAGTTTTGGAAGGGCTAATGAGTGAGCTGAGGGATCAAACAGGACTCACTGCTCCCCAGCAGAACTTTTTTTCCCCTTTAATGCAAATAATTCAGAAAGAGAAAAGGCCCAGCAGGGAGGAATGAAATGTTGCTTGGGCAAGCCAGCACTTCCCTTTTGACAACAGAAACAGAAAACAGAGAAGTTGAGGAGGGTAAGTATAAGCTGTCCAAATCAAAGCACATAAAAGCAAAGTGGACAAGCTCATTCTCGTACTCCGCACTCTCAGGACTGAGATGACCTCCTAAGGCAGCGGTTCCTTCAGGGACAGTAAGCATCGGACTTTCTGTGTTCCTGTCTCCCTGGGCGCAGAGCCTCTTGTACCAGGGAACACGAGGGGGTGCCTCCAAGCCACTGAGACCCCCAGACCGTGTGCCTGCCTGTGCTGTTTTCCTCCATCCAGAACAAGTCAGGGGAAAAAGAGGAAAGGGAGTGTATGTTCTTCAGACAACTAAATAGATTTCATTTAAGGGACTCACCTTTAAAAAACGAAAAAACAGTCTATTTTCTTGTTTTTTGACGTGAAAGTGATAGTATTTACTACTTTTTTCTTTTTTAACATTTCACTTGGCAAGGATTTAAAATTAGCAACTGCGTGTCAGTGTTCTGAAATCTTGAACTTCTTCCACCCGCTCATCTGAGGTGACATGGCCCCTCTTGGGGCTGCTGCAGCTTGAGGAAGAAGAGGCAGTGGAGGCTTGCAGCTACCTGGTTTCCGCCCGGCTTCTTCAGCCGGAGCGGTGCTGCTCTTTCACAAGAGGACAGTTACCTGATAAGATCTCCTGTATGGTGGAAGATCCGTCTGCAGGAGCAAACCTTCGTCCCAGGCTCTTCTTCCAGAACCCTCTCTGTTCTGCTCGCTGTCCTTGTCTCTCCCCTGCCTGCCTGGTCTTCTCTGCTGGGTTCTCTGTGCCCACCATTTCCCAGTCTCTGGTGCTCGCGCCAGCAGCCGCACGCAGAGCATAACCGCAGCATCCAGAGCCCGGCCCTGGCCACCTCTGTCGTGCCCATCAGTGGGTTTGTGTCCTGCGTGCTCACTGAGCCGCGATGGCGCCCCCGTCATCCTGAGCCCCAGCCTCCTCTGGCGTCGGGACACTGGTTACGAACATCAGTGATGTCCGAGTCTCCGTGGGCTTGCTCGTCTTAGCCGGGTTTGCTGACAGCAAGTCTGCCGGGGAACAACACGTACTCTGAAGTCTCTTCAGCTGCTGTGTCACGTTAATTAGCCATCTCTCTAAACCACAGTCTCTCTTAAGGTCCCCAAAGCGAGCTTTAAATTCTAGCCTCGCACTGACGAGTGCAGGCCGTGCTTTTTCATGAAGCTGACTCTGAGTACAGTTTCGAGGAGGCTGACGTTCCATGTCCGGCACGTGGTGGGCCATATGCGGTCTCCAGTAGGAGAGAAACAGAGGCAAGGAGGTTGTTTCCCTTCTCTTCTAGAAGGAAATGCCTAAAGGACCCTTTCTGCATTTGCTTTGAACAGATGGACAGTATTCTGTAGCTTCCCCAAAGGCCTCCAGTAGATTGCATGAGACTTCATCAGTGCTCACACATAGCACGTGACGGGAGGACACCTGTCCTGAGATGTCCCGGCATCACGTCGGCGTCTTGTGCGTACCCTGGCCCCTCCTGAGGATGCTACGTGCAGCAGACACTGCTGAGTTGTTTTGCCTCATTTAGAAGTAAAAGTGGGTGACAGCTGAATGTATTTATTCATGGCTTTGTTGTTTTATCTTTTTTATTATGGAAATTTTCAAAAAATACACAGAAGTAGAGAGAGTCACAATAGTACGACTCTCTGCCTTTTCTTCCGTCTTTGCCAACACACCAGCACTTCGTTTTTGGCTAAAGCTTTTCTCCCCAAGCAAATCTCAGTAACTCATTTTATTTTATTTTCAGTAACTCCTTTTAAACAGGAAGACTTTCTTCTCTAGTAAAACAAATGTTACTAAAGGTCTTTCTCTTCCCGCGCCCCAGGACCAGTGAACTGCCTCCCCCTCCAAGAACCTGCGGTCAGAAAGTGTCAGAGTGCCTTGCTTCTGACAGTCATTCAGCCTTACCCCCGGCCCAGAGCCCAGCCCTCAGGAGAAGGCTGAGTACCTGCACGTGAACTGGCACTTAGTAAAAACAGGGTTCCTGCAGCCATGAGCTATGATACTGCCAGAAAGAACCAAGGGCCTGCAGAGAGCTGGGAGCACCTAGCTAGGTCCGGGGAGATGGAAATGTTGACTTTGGGGGTCTTGGATGCAGAGGGCTCAAGGGTGGAAGAATTTCTTCCACACTAAGGGCCTCTCCAAGGGAGTATGGCTTCTGGACGCCTGGCCTCACTCTCAGGCCGGGCCCCTCCAGCTTGCCTCTCCAGGCCCTTCCTGCTACCATGTTCACTTCTCAGTTTAAAGCCAGCTCCTGGTGACGGGACCCAAGGATGGAGGGGACAGTGATTGCCAGCAGATTGAGGTATCCTGAGCTGTCAAGGCCAGTGGGAACAAGAGGGAAGGAGCATGTGTAGTGAGCAGCTCTGGGTCATGTTTGAAGAGGCAGGTACAGAGTGATGCAGAGGTGACATCAGGTTCCACACGCAGGGCCTAGGACCAGTGACCTCCCTCAGTACATGTAGTCATGGATCTCATACAGCTTATTTGTAAAAGAGGAGGGTCCCTCAGTGCATGTCTCTCTCCTAGTCTTCTGTGAGTTTGTTTTCTTAAAGCTAAGAATGTACCCAGTCTTCGCTGTTGTCAGGGTGAGAACTTGGCCATGTGTTCTGCTTGCTGTGTGAACTAGGTTTGCCTTTCATCACTCCTTCAGCTGCGGGCTCCGAGTACCTTCCCCTTCCTTCCTTACAACAGTGGTCCAGGATTGGCGCTTAAGTGTCTGCTGGCTGCTTCTGGCCCCTTGAGGGCTACAGGGGCTCCATGAAGTCTTTTGGAAGGATAGTGCCTAATCCTCACCTGCTCTCCGTCTGACAGTCCAGAAGCCAGTTGTCGTTATAGTAATTTTGGCACCAGAGACCAGGTGAACCCATTCCGGCCGCTCCACAGTGCTAGTGCCATCGTGCACGGGGCCTGGTCTAGTCGGCCCGTTGCTGTGTCTCCGGGGACTAGGGAAAGCTAATGGACACATTCTCTGTTTCCTCTCCAGGAGGGCCGCAAGAATGAGGTGCTGCTGTCCAAGATGAGAGCCAAGGCCTCCTGAAGATCCCCAGACATCACCGTATGTCGTCGATTTTTTTTTAACGCCATTTATCAACTGCAAGATGGTGAAGATAGTTCTGAGCACTACCGTAGAGAGATGCAGGGGCCATGATCGCAGCACCAGGATATTTTCTTTCTCCCATTTGCTTCCATTTCATCTCTCTGTTGTTGATGGAATCAGACGGTGCAGACGTGGTGGCTTGGAGAACACCCGTCATCCTATGAAGAAATGCGGGCAGTATCTGTTCTGTGTCAGGTCAGCTTGAATTTCTCCAGTAACATTGCACATATGAAGGTACCTGTATCTGTGTGGACTCTGAATAAAAAGGAATTCACTTGTTCAGCAGATGTTAATTGAGCAACCATTGAGAAGTAGGCACTGAGGGAGACAGAAGTATAAAATCCAGGCCCTGCGCCTTGGGCAGCCAGCAAGTGGCCCAGGGAGCAGAAACAGCCCATTTGACCCAGAGCTCAGCTCAGTCACCTGAGGTTTTTTGGTTCTTTTTTTTTTTAGTAAGCAAAGGCTTTTAGCTGAATGACCAGCCCACGTGAGTATGGTCATGTGGGCCCTTTGCTTACCCTTGGTGCCTTTTGTTCCTGGCTCCTCGAGGTGCCAGCCAGCAGTCTTGATGGTGTAGCCGCAAGAATGAAAGCTCAGTGGCTGAATTCTTACACATGACTCGAGTTTATTTCACCAAAAATTGAAAACAGGGGCCTCATATTGAGGACCCCGTAAACAAGAAGGACACCTTAATATTCCCTGTTTCTCACGTGAGTCCCAGCCAGACGTGGTGCCCCCCCCTCTTCATTAGGCACACATGCCAGGAGCTCCATGTCTGGACAGGTCCTGGGCCAAGCACAGAGATGAGACACCATCCACTGGGCTCCGGGCATTGCGCGATAAATGCTGTGAGCAGAAAGCAGAGGGCATCGGAGAAGGAAGAACAGTGAGGCGCACAGAGATCCAGGAGACTTCGTCGGGGAGGTAGTACTGGGACTAGAGCAGAACGGGGAGTTGCATTTTAATAGGCGGAGATAGGTGGGAAGGCCTTTGGATAAATATGACTGTAATTAGAAACTTGAAAGGGTGCAGGGAGAGTACAAGCGTGCTTGTTGGACAAGGAGTGGAGGGGCCTGTCTGCAGGAAAGGCCGGCTGGGACCAGCCTTCAGGACCAGGGGAGGCGGGGGCTTGAAGGCAGGCAGAGCAGTAGACTCTGTCCTCCAGAAATGAGCAGTTAGGACCAGATGGGAAGCCCCTCCTTTCGTGGCTTTCAGGGATCCGGCAGCCCAGCCATGTCCAGTGAACCCTGGCACGAGGTGGGCATTTCATTCCGCATGCTTGCACACATGCTAGTCAGCGGGCTCGAACGTGACACGTAGAAGCTTATACAGGGAGGCAGCTGGGGCGTTCAGTGCAGTCACAGGAACAGCACATCCATTCTTAGTTCTCTGAGATGTGCAGTAAGCAAATCTGATGTGCACAGACCTTTAAAAATCCCTTGCTGGATTAGCAGCAGGCGCTGGTTTCTGTGGTTGGGCAGCAAGGCCTGTCCGGGTCCCAGAGCTATGGAAGCAGCAGTGCCCGAGGTGGTGCTTCCCTGTGCCGAGTGTGCCCTTCCTGGGCCCTGTACGTCTCCCCTTAGTGGCTCCCACGGGGCTGCTGCCAGCTGCAGGTTGATTTTTGAAACGGCCCCATGAAGTTGAAGCCAGCGACAGCCAGAAAGCAGGTGACCCTCTGAGGGCTGGGGAGGGGGCAGCTGTTTGCCAATTATTTCAGGTTTGGGGAAACATCTGTGTTTTCGTGTTGAGAAGCTCATGGACCCACTCCCTAGCCTTGTTTTGAGCCGTTATGAAATTGTCTTATTTGTCCAGAGGTGGTAGGGAGGAGAGTGGGTTATATTCTGGGGTTCGGTAGCCCACCTCTGCTATCAGGGTAAATATGGCACGACTAATCCAAAGTCACTAATTAATAACCATTTACGGGCATTTATTGGGCTGTGTTTCCAAAGAATTTCATTTTGATTTGGTTTTGCTATAGGGAGGTATCAGATTTCCTTTCCCCTTTTAACCCACAAGGCCTAATACAGACAAGTTCGTTCCCATTCCTTGGACACCTCTTGATTAGACTGCAGGAGCCAGATTAGAAAAGTCTGTGTTTGCTACAGGCGACCCACAGAGTGGATGGTGTCTTTGTGAAGAATTAGGACCGCAAGCACGCCTTACAGTCAGGCCTTAGAGGCCGATGTGATGCCCTAAGGCCCCCTTCATTTCAGAAGCCCCTCAGGAGAGTTCCTTCTGGGACATCTTGTGAACCCAGAGTATGACTGGGTATTGGGCTAAGCCCACAGACTTTTCTGGAGTTTAAAGAAAAAAAAAAAAAGGCAGCAGGAAACATGCTTAAGTTACTTTTATGAAATGTGTGCTTCTGGAGGAATGAGGCTTCCCCAGGAAGCATTCTGTTGCCCCTGTTCAGTCAGAGCCATAAGCTTGCTGTCCGGGTACCCTGGCATTCTCTGCCAGCCTCAGGTGGAGCGCCGTCCTCCCTGACACACAGACGTCTGGTGGAGTACATGGGCTGCCTTGGTATAAACTGAAGTCAGAGCTGCTGAGCAGTACAAACCAGAGGGCCACGAGGTATATGGGGAGACATTGAGACATGTTCCTTATTGTTCTCTGCCTGGGTTCGGTCTCATGGGTCCCTGGGGTCAGCTCATTGCGCTAGAGGGAGGTGTCAAATGTTTGAGAATGCTGCCAAAGTGACATGTCGGGGTCTGTTTCCTTTTTGAACAGAGCAAATTCCAGGCCTAAGTTCTTGTTAGAGTCTCGAGTGTATGGTTCTCACTGGCTTCTGGTCCATTGCCCATATTCTGTGGGTAGCCAGGGCCTGCCAGTGTCTGCTGAAGCAGGACCAGAAGGCCGAGGGGCTGGGACAGATAGGCCATTCTCAGGCTGAGGAAGCGCTCCTTTAAAAAAAATAAAAATAAAAAGAAGGCAGCAGGAAACATGCTTAAGTGTAGCTCTTGGGACCCTCTGAAACCAGGAGCAGAGGACAGGGATGGCCCCAGGCAGCCCTCTACTACCTCACCAAGCACCATCCCCATGACCTCAGGCTGACTGTCGCTGGCCCTGATCATGTCTGTAGTGACCAGAGCAGGCCTGCCAGCAGAGGTTTGGACCGCAAGCAGTGGCCTGTAAAGCAGGCCACCTTGATTCCTGCGTCCCACGCGTGGCCTGGTCATGCCCTTTCTGCACGTGACTGATGATCGGTGTAGAGGGAAGCAGCCTTTCGAGCAATAAACTGTAACAGGTACTTTGCCTGAGCCTGAGAGGCGGAGTTGGCTTGAAGCTTGCTTCGGGGAAGAACGTTGAGGAAGCGCTTTATGCTTTCCTTGGGTTTGATGTTGGCTTCAGGGTACAAGCCCTTACCACACAGCAGTCTGGCGAAGAGCCCCAGCAAGGTGAGGTACTTGCTGGCCATCTGTGTGGCCGCGCGATAGTCAGGTAGGGCAGCTTATGTGAGGCATCCTCAGAGCCCCCACCACCCCCACGCCTTCTCTCAGTGCTTTTCCCCAAGTCCAGAGCGTTTCTTCCAACAGCACATGGCGACAGGCTGAAAAACACTATGTAAAAAATCCTGTTGTCATGGTCCCCGCTCTCCTCACGATAAACGTGTAAAAGCTTTGAGGGGATCTAGTAGCTGGCCTATGGCTCATGTGACATTGTGGGGAATATTGCGGGTTTTCCGCATCAGCCTTATACTCGTTCCTCAGACGCGCCAAGCTCATACCTGCCCTTGGCTATTGTCCTTGCTGCTGCCTCTGCCTGGACCACCATCCATCCAAGGTCATGGGCAGTGGCTTTCCAGGACAGCCTAATCTGCTATAGACCCATTCAGTGGCGGCCTGCAGCGCCGATCACATTCTGCACTTTCCCCCACTGTCTCTCTTGGTGGCACAGGCTACTTACTATTTGATCTCTTAGTCCTTTGTGAAGTCTTCTGCGTGCCCACCCCCCAGAGTGGGGGAAAGCAGGAAACGTGCAGTCTCCCCAGAGTCTTGCTCGGGCTAATGGCCAGGAAATCCTGGCGGAATAAAATAGCTTCTCAAATTGTGACTTTGTATCCCTGTATTAGCAGAGTTTAGAATGAAACTTGGCATCTAACTGATGCTCCATTTGTATACAGGTGGGCAGTTTCACTCAGCAGCTTGTGAGGATCTCCTAGAGTGTCTTTGTCAGACTCCAGCCTCTACGGTCAGAACGACAGAGGTGTCAGAGGTCTCAGACCTTTCAAAGCAATTACCTTTCATGTGGGTTTTTTCTCCCCAGATGGGGAAAGAGAAAGGGAACACACCAGTGTCAGGGACTATTAGGTCATGAGTCTGTTTGGTTCAAAGTATGTCATGAACCTAATGGTCACTTGACTAGTTGAGGTGACTCAGCCACATGAAACCAGGAAGTGGGGAGCAGCACTGGGATGCGGTGTTGGCAGAAGTACAAACTGTGCAGACCCGTGGTTGGACAATATCTCTGAACAGTGCCCAGACTTCTTAAGCCAGCAGTGCTACTTCTAGGAATCTTCCCCACGTACAGGGATTTTCATGCAGCATTGTTTGTAATAGCAAAAAGTCAGAAACTACCACCAACGTAGGACAAGGGTTAAGAAAATCATGGTGAATCCATGCAACGGGCTCTTGAATTTAGAACGGAGTCACTCTGTATGTACTGCCGTGGGATAATCCCTAAGGCACATGGTAAAGTAGGGGACAAGAAGCTCTTGGTATGCTAGTGTTTGTTTTTGAAAAGGGGGGAGGGGTGGAGAAAAATGCGTGTCGATGGGCATACACACGTGTGTGGTGCAAACATGCACATCTGACTACGGATCTTCTGGCGTATGCCTGGACTATCTCTGGGAGGATACACGGGAACCTGACGGCTTCGGTTGCCTCTGGGAAGAGGGGTGGGAATAGCTTTTCACTGTATATCTTTTGTACCTTTTGAATTTTATACCATGTACATGTATTATCTATTCAAAAAATAAAAGTTTTTAAATCTTAACTTGATTTCATTTTCTACCAATCAGAAACATGCTAGAAGATTCATGTTTGGTAAATCTGCTTTCCTTAGGAAAAATAATTAAGCTCTCCCTTTCTTGGGTCTTGGGGGAAATAGGGAAGTGGAAAGGGGGCTTGCCTCTTCTGACAGAGCAGCTATAGGGAGAGGAAGCAGGGACGGGAAGGGGGCAGTGGACTGTGAAGCAGTTTCCCCACTGTTGGTTTGCCCCTCTCTCATGACAGTCACAGCACCCCCTGTTCCTCTGGCTTTGGGGGCGCAAAAGATGGAGGCAGTA